CAATTTAAGGATCCCCAAACCTGCATTCATTTGCCAGTGTATGGCGATAACAGCCATGTTGATCATCTTTGAAGAGAAGGAAACCATCAGCCAAGTATGGATGATGGATGATCTAGATTGATCCAAGGCCATTTTGATCCATTTTGGATGATGTAGGCCACTAGAGTTGTTGAGGCCACAGAGTTTTTCCCTTGGCCGAGACACAATGGCAATGTGCCCTCATTGGCGAACAGCCGCCTCAGCAAACAATTGCACTCTGGTTTGGATGGCCAGCAGGACAGCCAATTTGGATTGTCTGGAACAGTGCCGATGCTCCAATGTGCTGGTACTGCTACTTGCTATACCTGCTAATACCTGCTACCTGCGGCAGCAAGGAGCAGCAAGGGAGCATTCCAAATTAATTGGGAATGCAGTATTCCAAACACCATTCGCAAAGCGTATCTGCGTGTATTGAATCATCTACCGAATCTACTGGGTCTGTGAATGCAAGATGCTATGGTTTGATCATGGCAGCATGGCTGCTGAATATGTTATAAGAGGTAGTACACTAAGCGAGGCAAAATAGTCTGGTATGGTGCCCCGCACGCCCATGGCATGTTTGAAGTCAAGGAGCTCTAACATGGCTCGGACAGCCTGCCGTTTCTGCCACATTGTGCCGCGGATGGTCAACACCTGCGGAGGAGATACAGTAGGGAGACGGAGGAATAAAGACAGACCAAGAAGAGTATGAAATTACTTCCATCCCATTGCCCGATGCAAATCCTACCATCACGTTCTTCATTTTTCTTCCCAAGGCTCATGTCCAGCCATTTCCATGTTCATTTGCAGCCCACACCCAAAGAACTAAGCACGCCCCCGCCCCGCCCTGCCCCAAAAGAAAAGACATAATAAGGAAGTCTTTGGGGGTCTACAAGTACCATAAACAGAGGTCGACCATTGAAGACCATGCGGTCCGTTCATGACCCGATGATTTCATGACCGATGATGTCCCCACACAGCCAAAAAAAAACCTGCAAATCAACATGCAAAACTGATTGGAATCCAAAAATCCCAAAACCTCTCTGATCTTCCCCAAACAGTGTGGGCACACTGAGGGGTTCTTACGGTAGTGGAAAAGCAGGAGTGCTTAGATCGCTGTTCCGCTCGGCTGTGTCCGGCTAATTCGCTGCTATTTACAGTACATCCATGCCTCTCGACATCGTCAATGTGCATTTCGACTGCGCAGGCTCGCCAAATCTGCGTGGGCGCGGCGGGTGCTTCTAACGACTGCGCTCTCGTTGTGGTGCCGTGCGCATTTTCGCACATGGTGATCACTTTTCGTGACAGGTGCAAGGGATCGGAGCTGTTTTACTTCGAACTGCAGTTTTCGTGGCAGGCGCAGCACTTTGGACATGGTGGTGATCGTCGAAGAGCTTTGATTTCGTGATAGGTGCAGTGAATCGTGACTTTTGGACATGTGCCTCGTTTGCAGATTTCGTGGCAGGCGCAGCACTCTGTGACCCTCGATGTGCAGATTTCGTGGCAGGCGCATGCAGATTTCATGGCAGGCGCAGCACTTGGTGAACCTCGAAGTGCAGATTTCGTGGCAGGCGCAGCGCTTGGTGAAAACCTCAAAGTGCAGATTTCGTGGCAGGCGCAGCACTTGGTGAACCTCAAAGTGCAGATTTCGTGGCAGGTACAGCACTTGGTGAACCTTGCCGTGCAGAACTTGGTGAACCTCGAAGTGCAGATTTCGCGGTCGGCGCAGCAGTTGGTGAACCTCGAAGTGCAGCTTTCGCGGCAGGCACAACACTTTGTGAACCTCGTCATGCAGATTTCGTGGTAGGCACAGCACTTCGAACTCTCGCTTCACTTGATCTGTGCTCTCAGATGTGTGATCTTTAGACTTCTGTAGACCTCTGAAACTCTATCCTCGCTTCGCTTGATCTGTGCTTTCAGATGTATGCTCTTTAGACTTCTGTAGACCTCTGAAACTCTATCTCGCTTCGCTTGATCTGTGCTTTCAGATGTGTGCTCTTGAGACTTCTGTAGGCCTCTGAAACGCTAGTTTGTTCTCATATGTGTGCTCTCTAAACCGGTTTTGTGCTCTCAGATGCTCACTCTCTCCCTCCCTCACACTCACCCTCACTCACTCACACACGCTCACACTCACACTCACTCTTCACTCACACTCACATTCACACTCACTCTCGCACTCACTCACCCTCCCTCACACTCGCTTTCGTCCACACTCACTCTCACTCACACTCACTCTCACTCTCACACACTCACTCACACTCACACTCACACTCACACTCACTCACTCGACTCACTCTCACTCTCACTCACACTCACACTCTCACTCTCACACTCACTCACTCTCCGACTCCTTCATCACCACCATCACCTCTCTGGACCCAATGCGTCTAGATCTCAAGACTTTCTGCTTATAGACCTCACACACACACTGTTTGGGGTCTCTTGCCGGGATACGGTAAGTTTTTTCGTTTGAAAAGTCGAGCCCAAAATCCCTCCAATCGGCATCTCGAGTCGGAAGCCGAAACCGCCGCCTCGCGGCCCTCCGTGGACTCGTGCAGCAGGTGAACACCGACGGCCTCGAGGAAAAACAGAACAAAATGGTACCCAAGGTGACTTGGTTGAGTGAGTACAGTACATGAATGAGTGAATGAGTGACTCATAGTCAGTCATTTGGAATGGCTTGAGGATGAAGAACCACCTTTTTAGTGGCAGCTTCACATATGAGAACAGTCGGAAATCTGTTGAACATCTGTAGAGCCTCAAGAACATCTTTGGGAGTCAGAAACCTCAGATCCTATGGGCAGATTGTGGCAGTGTAGCTGGTGCGCTGAGGGCAAGTGCTGTCGGAGAAGGACTAGCACCCCACAAGAACTATTTGACCTACATATACACTTCTTGAAATAATAATGGAAGTGGAAAACAGGCCCCTGGAAAGTAATTTTTCACCACAAGCAGGTGGTTTTCCACTTCCATGCTAATGGCTCCGAGAGTAGTCCAAGCTTAACAGCAGTCAAACTAGGTCCATCCTACAGTCTGTCTCGCTAGCCGGTACCATGCCTTTGTTCCACGTGATACACCTGGTGAAACACGTGGTGAAACACATGGATGTCACATGTCTCAAAAAGACGGCAGAATAAAAACACCTCCGGCTGTGGCCGTGTTCACGCGGGCGTCAACAATGACACTTCATCTGGTGCATTCAGAGCCTTCGTCTGTCATTTCAGATATGCGTTAATTAATATACATTATATAAGCATGTCATTTCGATCATTTCAGCTCTTGTCCTGAAGAGCAACACTTCACTTGTCAGTGGCAGGTCTCGCCTCTTGTGCTCGCTCAAGCAGGTTTGGCTCTTGAGTCCTCAGTTTAACAATCCACACAAAGGATCGAACATTTATTTGACACCAGCATGACCGGGCCAATGGTTGAGATTTCGGACCTTTGAAACTGTCCCTTGGATATCCTTGGATTTAGAAGCGCAGTATAGCGCAGTGATGTGCACACATCCCAATGGTTGGCTGTGAATTTGAAATTGGCTCGCCATTCAGTCCGGCTTGTGGCGGTTCCGATCATTAGACAAGGAACAAATTGACCCACATTCTTCACCGACACACAAAACATACACCAACCAAACAGGCAAACAAAAATGACTATGAGTTGGCCAAATATCGATGTTCACTGCCTCAAATCGCATTGGCTTCGATGTCCTTACTGCGGGTGTCCTTAAGTTTGAAGCTTCTCATTTTACTTTCTTCCACTCCCTCTCAGCCCGGTCCGCTGGTTGACCGTCCGTCTTTTCCCCACGTCTAGGGACAAGAGCTGCACTTGCTCCGACGTGAAGCCCAAGCGCCACGGCACCAGCGGCGGCTCGGAGACGTGGCGCGCCATGGGACGCTGCGTCTCACCCCGAGACCGTCGGATGGTTTCGATGGTTTGTTTGGATGGTTCGTTTGACTAACATGGTGAAGGGAAAAAACGGATAGTTTGGGGGGTGTTCCCATTTCAAGGGTGATATTCGGAGAGGTTGATCTTTCGTATGATCTTTTCATAACTGGTGTACATATATATATATATATAGTTGCTTGGTCAAAGCTGCCTTGTCACGTACCTGATGTTTGGCTGTGAAGCTCCTTAGCCAATGGCTCACGCGGATGGTTCTCCAATCAACTTGCAGCCTCCGTCAGGACGTCACCTCGTCGGACCCAGCTGGGTTCAACCAGCTATAGGAAGAGGCGGGGCTTGCGCACCGAAGCTGTGCAATAAAAAGATTGAGACGAACGACGTATGTTGAGGCCTAGCTGGATGGGAAGCAGCCACCGAGCTCGGTTGGATAGGTCGCCCGTCTTCCAATCTTTCGGAGGTCCGCCAGTCTCGGAGCTACGGACGCCTCGTTCAAAGACATCCTAGGACACACACTTGGAAGTGGAACTGGATGGTTTGAGCGACAACCATATCCTCAGAAGGGGACATCATAAACTGTGCGGCTTGCTGCGGTTGAACAATTGCAAAGGCTCTGTGACCAGGTCACAATTAATGAGTCTAATCCCACAAGCGGTCATGATTGGACACTACATTGGACACTTCTCATTTTCACATATTTTCACCGTGGATAGGCCAATGGATAGGTTACTCTATACAAAACCGGTTATGCATCCCACTATATATTATCACTATCACTTTAATATTAAGAGGGCTCTTTCTCGGATACTTCTTAGGATCATCGAACAAGTCACTCACTGGCTGTCACTACAGGTCATCATGCGACCCGGCTGCGATGACCGGGGTGACTATGACAGGAAGCATTGGGCTGCCAGAAAGCATTGGTACCACTGCAAGAACAAAGCATTGTGGCCGCCAGAAAGCATTGGTGTTCTTGGGACCCCGTTCTGGTGGTATCATTGCGACAGGGTCCCTGTTGAACATGAACTGTCGAGTGCCCTGCTGTCGATGTCGAACTCTCGCGCTCAGTCAGGTCGACGTACCTCATTGATCCTCTCCACAGCCAGCGTGGACGAGGCCTTGCGCAAAGGTAAGGGGAGCGTGTGGAGCACCACACCACAGCGTGCCATGGCGCATGATGCGGAGTGGAAAAGCAGCTGGGTGGATTGGTGAAGTCTCTTAAGGGGATTTGCTACATCGACGTCGACATCTTCCCTTGGAGAGGTCAAAAGCACAGGGGTCGACCGACTATTTCGGGGCGAGAGATAGCCAACGCAGCCTATCCATGCACAAACCTGTCCATGCCTGTGCTGGGGCCAGCCCTTTTCTGGGAACAGCCATAGTTATACTTAAATGGTCTTGCTTGCAAGATCTGGCATTGCGCCTTCGTCTTTTATTCACATCTTGGTATATTGGTGTGCAGGAACATGGCCAGACTTGTCCCGCCCCTCCCACGCTACACAAGTCTCGGTCATAATAAAAACTTGTGTGTGTGAGCTCATGAACATAATGAGATGTTCCAACCATTCAATAGGGTTGTGTAATCACGAGTTATCAAGTTTGCAAGTCGAGGCATCCCTGGGCATAGCTTCGACGATGTGTATCCACATAAGGGGTCACCACTGAGAAGCTTGCCTATCTGTGTTCCAACATCCATGTCATAGGGCGAGAGGGGACGTCCTGTGTTTATCCAAGTGTCCTTGAATTAGCAAGTATTCATTATTATATTATACCATATTTATACCGTTTATACCATCTATTCTACCTACAAACAGGCTCAGCTCCACCATCCACCACATGGCACGTCTGGGAACATGGCACCGCCGCCTCGCCGTAGAACAAGTAAAACACTCTATGGGACTGGCATATTTACATACATCGGGGTGGTTTCAGTGGTCAATGTAGGCATATATATTCCATACATGGAGTGTCTGGGTTAGGATCAATGTTGATGTCGACATCGCTTCTCGCCGTGACCCATGGGTGATCTGCACAGGTCCACCCGGCGCCCCGGTGGAGCGGTCGCCTCATTTGTTGCCATGACCCCAAAGTGCCGCAAGAAGTCCTGGACGGCACCGGGGTGGCACCGGTGATCCATTTATATACAATATACATATATATATATATATACAGTATATTGACTTCTGAGGCACAAAGTATTCCAAACATCATTCGGGGGCTCAAAGTAACTCCCATGTATATATAGTTATATATGATTATATAATATATAATATTATATATATATATGTATATGCTTTATATGTTTAGTTTGTTGATTTCTGATATACTTTCAGACCTTCACGCTGCAGGACGTGTTGATCTTATATGTCTTAGCCTTCAAACATGAAGTGTATTGACTGACGTCATTCAAAACAAACAACATACACAAACAGAAAAGAAAAACAACTCCATACGGTCCATACAAATCAAAAACCACACACGCAACACGCAAAATCACACTAACTAATATCAACAAAGCAAGAAGACACAGTGAGAGAACTAGTTCCCCATGATGCAGTGTCCATGTTGCTGGATATGTTTTAAAGTTGTCTTGAGATGTCTTGAGTCTTTCTTACGTACCTTGTCTTTGCCAGAATTATGCTGTCATGTTGTGCAGTGTCTGACGCTGCCTTCTTGTCCCGTTATGCTTAGACCGCTTTTTCTCGTAGGCAAACTCTAAATCTAGAAAACATGGCACTTCAATCCACTCTGTCTGCTTTCCAAACATGATAGGCACACTGAAGCGGGCGTACACAGAGTACCCTGTCAGAATTTGAAACCACAATGCGGCCGGTGGTGAGTGTGGGCTCTTTTCTTGTTTAAATGTCACAGCTTTCCCGACCCATGTATGCACCCAGCATCACGCAACCAAAAAGACAGGGTCTTGCAGAACATGTTTGTGAAGGAAACGTCAAGCATATCCGTCAATTTGCTGAGATTCCAACCTCCCCTAGACAAAGAAGCTTGTCTCAAAATGAGGAAACTGACCAAATTTAATAGCCAAAGCAAAGGGATATCAACAACAAGTCATAACAAATCCATTCCTACTAGACCTTGAAATGTGTCACCATCTTGAGGCAAAACCATATCCTCATCAACTGTTGACTCCATGTTTTCTCTGAATCAAAAGGGGTGCTCTCCATGAAGACAAGGACCGGCCTCCAGCTCTGTGTTGGCCTGGGTCGAAAGCCGTTGGCTATGATGTCCCCCACGGCGCCCGTGCTGGGCAAAAGGAAGACTGAGAAGACCTTTGGCTTGAACATGGGAACGGTTGACGTTCGTTGAGATGGCATGTCACATGGCCTACGGCCAGCACATTGTTTCTGCTTTAGGCCTCTTCACACAAGGTCTGAGAGGCAGTTGAGCAGTTGAGCAGATTTTATAGTGATTTTGTAATATATATATATAATATACAGTACAATGGGTGTTTTGTGTCAATTTTGAAACTTCAACATCAAACCCTGCTGTTGTTGGCGCTGCTATCAGGATTTGCAACGCTCTTCTTGCACTTCTTGAGGCGCTTGGAGTCTGTTTTTTCAGATCTGTGATTCATGGGAAGACGCAAGTAGATCCAACACCTAAGTGGAGCCGCCAAATGGGCACCTTGGTCAAACAGTAGCCAGGTCGCTGGAAGTTGTGTAATCCATACTTTCGGAAGAGGCTCTTGTTTGGGGAAATGAGTGGAACATGTCCATTACAGTAACTTCTTGGTAAAAGGAATGAAACCCATTGGCTGGGAACACACACCCCTCTTCAAGCTCTTATCTCTTCAACGCCCTTTATGGTAAGGTATCAACTGCCGGCATACAGCATTTGTGCTTGAGAAAGTCTTATAGTCTCTCCACTCTCATAGCAGGCTTGGACAAAAATTCCCAGAAAACATGTCATCCCAATGATCTCAAGTTACAGTAAAATGCGCAAAAAAGCAACCCAGAACAGATTGAACAGTTACTTGATGACTTCCGATGACTCCCCCAAATAAGCAATGGTTTCGATACATCGTATACTGAAATCTTAGACATGTGGGTGCTGTTTGGGTGGTATCGCTTCATTGCACCGCCGAGCCGCCAAGTGATGTCCTTTTGCTGCCTTGTCGAAAGCATCCTGCCGTGCCCCAACAAAGGACAGGAGAACCAGCTGGGCCTGCTTTGTTCGTTGTTTCGACTATTCAATGTCCGATGGCTCTTGACGATGTTGGGGAGCAACAACTGCAATGGATTCATTGCTTGCGTCGATCGTGGAGGTGAAAAAGGGCCCCTGGGTGGGAGTATGAGTACGACCCTAAAGTACATGCATCCCACCAATCCTGCCAAGCGAATACTTCTTGCACTTCCAACATAAATCCTGCTGCTGATCGCAACGCGCAGCATGCCTCTTTCTCGCAAAAGCAATGCCTAAAACGTCAATTGAAAAAGTGCCTGGTTCCGCAAAAGCAACAGAAGAGGTCCACCGTTTCCATCCACTTTCTCATGACTTGAAGTGCTGAAAATACATGAAGACATACGCTATGGTAGCTGATGAGCTGATCAGGGAGCGCGTGGCCTTTGTTGAGAGATGTTGAGAGATTCTGAGAGATCACACACCTGGTCCAAGAAATCTAAAAATACCTTCTGACTGCCTTCTGAGTGTCGGGAACTGGGGAGGGCTTGCCACGTCTAGCTATAGAGCACAAATACTATTTATAGATTATCCTAGATAATCTATAAGTACAGCCGGACAGCCCTCCACTCCCTTCACTATCCATTTCTTCCTTCTGCGGAGATGGTGTTGAAAGAGGCTCAAGTACTGAAAGAGGCTCTGCACCGCTCTCACGAGTATCACACAAAAGGTTGCCGTTGTTCGAGGGTTTCAGGGTTTGGTTTCATCACATACATACTGGATTTTTTAAAAAGTGACAGCCAAAACCGCTGTGATTCTCAAGAGTGGCCTAGCAATGTCAAGCCAATTCACACATGTTGTTCTTTAAAATCTCAGAACGGAGAGAAACCGCAAAACATGTTCAAAGGTTCGCAACCATATATTGCTATACCTTGTTGAATAAATAGCTCTGTGACAAAATGCCTCTTGATCTGGTTCTAATCCAAGATGTCTGTTCGATTCTATTCGGAACTCGTTGGCACATGAGACAGTTGACAGCACCAAAAGTCGCTATCCGACACTTGGGAGCTCTTAGCTGTCCAGTGGCCAGGACGCCTCAAGCAGTGCTCCTGCCAAGGAGCACTAGGCTAGCCAAAAAAAAGGATCGTTTTGTCGTGAAAAATGCTCCCATCTTGGAAGTTGAATCCACACTTGGCAAGAAGATCACTTCGTAGAACTATGGTGTGTCTGCTCCTGAACCTACAATTAGAACTCTTGCATACTCTTGCATACTCTTGCCTGAGCCCTGGTTGGACACATCGTAAACCATCCAAGGGACATGCCACACGACAGGCTGGGGGTGGCCTTCCGTCTCGGTCGCTCCGACGGTTTCGGAATCGGATTCCTAGCCCTAGGGATCCAAGTATTGTCAGAAGGTGATTGGAGACATTGTTATGTAGGTGCCAGGAGGGTCCAGTCGTACCCGCTCGATTTCAGGGGGAAACAAATTATATAGTAGCAAGGACGCTACTATGGATTTCGACGGGCCGATGGATATCGACGGGAACATGGACCGTCGTTGTTCTTTGTTTAAATTAGAGGAATCTCCAAGGAACTCTCACGGCACAAAATGGCACAAATCCCAAGACGTGGTGGCAAAACACATCTTAAGCATGATATGTTTCTCTAAGAACCAGTCATGTCTATGATCTTGTACCCTCAACTCTTGGACCAGAAAACATGCATACATCTGTTGCATCATCTGCGTTCTCCATGACACTGCTCCAAATAGCAGGAGCACTGCTCCAGCCGAACCTTCAGACCCGACCAGTCTGAGACCCTTCTCTGCATGGCTTCGCGTCGCATGGCGGCACTGCTCCGACGAGTCCGACCACGGATCGGAGCACGACCGGAGTAGGCGCCCCATCGGAGTGCTCACGGTGAGCGCTCTGTTGTTCGCAGCGATCTGCTGTTCATCTCGGAGTAGACCCCATCTGTTTTTTTTGTGTTGCCAGAAATATTGATCAATTTCATGGTATTGGAATGGTAAAAGGATGTAAAACGTAGTTACCCTGACGGCGCTAGCACCACATAGTTTTGATCATGATTTCAAACTGCAGCAGCAGGTTTATTCACTTTGGCCTTTTGTGCCCCAAAACCAAGAAGTCTTACCTCATCTGACCTCTAGAAACTGTCTCCATACCTCATTCTGTCAGAGCTTGTACCTATGACCTACGGCTATGTTTGTGCCATCTACTGTGAGGTCAAGTTGACCAAATGTTTCATCAGTTTGACTCAAGAGCTCTTTAACTGTTCACAGGGCTGGTCTTTTCCTCACCGATTCCAAGCTCAAAGCAACGCTTGCCACAGCCACGCTTGGAAGCATGATCTTCTGTGACCATTCTGATCCAACAACGTCAAGTCGACAAAACAAAGCGTGAACATATATGAGCCACAAAAACAACGAAAGTCCGGCATGTGTTGACACAATCACCATCCATCCATCAGTCGGACCGTTCCAACCGGCCTTATGACCGGACTTGGGGACCGTTCTTAAAGAAGCGAAGCCTGGTTTTCAGGAGGAAACAGCATGGCACATACTGTGCAGCACATCATATCTTGGCCCTCTAAGATCGGAATGGAACACATCTCAGCAGATCTCCAAACACGAAGACCAAGATGATCTCCACAGATTGACCTGACCTTCCGTAACTGCCTGGGCGCTGGGTGACCCCTGGAGCTGCTTCAAAGGGATTGACGGAATGACCGAACTGAGTCTCCAGTACTTGATCTTCATTTGACCAGCACCTCGTTTTTTCGGGCATCCCGTTCGGCCATATGTAGGAGCACCCTGTTTTCCAGGACCAACGGAAATGATCTACAAGGCTTCAAACCAAAACATTCTACTGGACAACTGGACCTATTTGTGGCCCAGGGGGTCCCACGATCACGATCGGTATCGGCCACTGTTGGCACTCCAACGTTTGTACCGTGATTGTTTGTGACCGAGTATGACAAACAGGCCAAAGACAGGGGCCTCCCTCAAAATTTACTGTTTCTTGGGAGGAGCTTGACCATGCTTGGGATTGCAACGTTGGTCTGGAACTCCAATTATGCTAACAAAATGAAATAGTTTTACCATGTTTTACATGGTGTTTGAGAGGAACAGTCAGCTCAGGTACGACATGGTCCGACAAAAGCAAAACCCTGCTAAGTGGTACGTCGTGGCTGGAAGTTGTTCCATCACTGAATAGATCTGAAATGATCTGAATATTGATTCATGCGATTCCATGAGAGATTCTATCGAGATCTGATCTACCTTCCCTTTTGTGTTTTTTCTTGGTCTTCGTGGTAGGTTCGGTCAGAACTAGCCAGTCTCAAACTCGTGGTGCTCAAAGCGCGTCAAACTTTTGCTTGTTCCTGAGCTGGAAGGTCTTTCCGCCTGGGCGGATACACCTTTCTTTCTTTTACCGAGCATATCGGCATATCGTCTGTGAACCCTTCCCCTTCTGTCCCCCACGATGCCGGTTTAGCAGCAAGCATGCAACCATGCAGATTGACATATTTTACAACTCAAAGACCCCCACGAAAGGAGTGGATTTTTTTGGGCCCCGAAAACCGGCTGCTTTTCTCCCTCTTCAACGTCCCCCAGCTGATTCAAGGAACGGGACAACCACCTGGGTCAGATGGCGTCTTTGTTTCGACCCCTTCACCGCCGATGCCGGGGACGTCCGTCGAACGGTAAGGGGTGCGAACGTGTTCTGACTCAGCCGGATGGAACTCATGGGAGGTTATGCCAATAACTATAGAGTTCAGAACCGATATGTTCGGTACGGTTTAGACCACATCGGTACCAGAACCGTTTTGCCGGTCCTTTTCGGTACGTCTAAATCCGTGGGAGGCGAAGGACTGGTCGACTGCGGTCGTCGAAGTTTGGACTGGACCAAGCAACAAAGGTTTTTCAGAACCCGTTTTAGGGCTATCTCACAGGTACCCCAGTAGGGTCCTATAAGATTACTGAACCTCTCTTGGAATAACCATGGTTTTGCCCTTTTGAAAGTGGAAGAGGGCCTCGAAGGAGGGTGATCAGGCAAACACCTTGATGATCTTTGATGTAAGCGAAGGGGCTGGGTCCGTACATTGCTTCTGAGAAGGTAGTTTATTAAGCATGTGTACATATTTGTGGGAATTCATGATCTGCTATGTCATGGTTGGTCTAGCGGCTCCTGAGAGTAGGACATGGGGCGGGTATGCTATGTTGCTTCGGGTGAGTGTAGTTAGTGGACTTCCTTCGCCGTTGGAATTGCCTGTGCAGCCAAGAGTCTCCTCTCAATTGGCACCTGTTGGCACAAGAGTGGCACGTGAAGAACAAACAACAGTGACGCGACCAGTACGAGTAGTCAACTGGTTGATGCACACTGTCACCAGAAGGTACCCTGAGGGCAGTGTTGTTCTTCAGGATCCTCTCTCCCCGGCGTTACAGTCATGCTGTCGCCGACATGCACTAAAAACTCAAGAGAGCAGGGTGTATGGAAGACGGCACCCTATCCCGTCCAAACCCTTCAAACAACAGTGTTAAATACCATGCAAACGTTCAAAAGCTGCTCTGCAACCTAGGCAACACGCGCGTTTGGATCTTGCGCAATCCCAATGGCAATGATTGCCTGCTTATCTGAATTGAATTGTTCTCACTGTCTGTCAAAGCTGTTCTTCAAGGCACTTCCTTCAGCAAGTTTGTCCTGATCTCAACAGGCTTTCTATTGGAGTCCTGATCCAAACAGGCTCTTCGATTATTCCGCTAGATTCTACTTCTTATCATTGACTCTTTCTATCCTTCCATGTATGTGTCAAATACGATTGATTTCCTATCTCCTCAGGAAGTTCTTCCTAGCCTAAACAAGCTTGGAAAAAGCAACGGTTCGGTTAAAGTAGGAAAACTGCTGATTGAAGTATATCTATGTATCATAAGTAAGACGCAGCCAAAATAAAAATCAGTAATAGACTTAATTGCTCTGTGAATTTGGCCT